CTGACCACAGCGTATCACCCACAACACAATGGGAGGGTGGAGCGTTTCCACAGGACATTGAAGAACGCCCTCCGGACCCGGTTGGACGGCAACAACGATTGGCTGGGCCACCTTCCGTGGGCACTCATGGCGATCCGGAATCTTCCCAACACTGATAGTGGCGTCTCCCCAGCGCAGCTGGTCGTTGGTGAGCAGCTCCATATGCCCGGCGAACTCAATTTGCCGGCCGACGATGCGAATTTGGATGTTTTTGCAAGAAAACTCAACGACGCCATCAAGACTCAGGTTTATCGTCGGCCGGATTGGCATTCTACAACGGAGAGAGTCGCCGGGCACGTTCCTTCGCAGCTACGGAGCTGCTCCCACGTTTTCGTCCGTCAAGAGCGAAGCCTGGGGAGCTTGAGGCCGAAGTACTCGGGTCCTTTTCCGGTTGTCAACAGAACGGAGAAGACGGTCACAGTGTCAAGAGAGGGGGAACCGGAAGTAGTCAGCATGGACCGCGTGCTTCCGGATTTACAGAAATGTTAGTGTAGTATGTAGTTAGAGTGTACACCTCCCTCTTAGATACAATAGGTATCTAGGGGGGAGTGATGTAGGGTCTAGTCGTAGTCTAGCTTTCTTAGTTTAGATTAGTTAGCTCTATTGACATTGCCCTCACATCTGTACATATCTCACATCATACCTTGACCACTTTTCATTATGTAAATACTCACCCATTTTATCTCTTGACATCGCCCATGTATATACTTGACCACATTGTACATATCTTTTATTCTTGTATCTTTAGTTCAGCTGTAGCAGGAGTACCGTCTTCTAGTTATTGTCCGTTCTCTCCTTGCTACAGCTTTAGTTAAACTTGACTGATGTGTTTACCTCTGCATGATTGTATAAGACGTTGCATGATATTCTTTGAAGTCTTCTGATCATCTTGACAAGTCATCCAAACAGTTATCTAGCCATTCCTTACATACAGAGATTGACTTGTCATTATATAATAAGAGGTATTGTGTTAAATGGAGTCAGATGAATAAAGTTAGTCAAGTTCCTGCCATACTCACGTTAACTAGTTATTCGTCGCTTGTCGTTGCTCCGTGCCTGTTCGTCGGTCTGGTGTCGTGCTGCTGCGCTGCTGGAGGTTCCGTGGACGTGAGGACAACCACTACCCTTTACTGGTGACCACCAACTGAGGACTCTGAGGTCGTCGCAATCAAGGATCCACAAGGACGCTCGACGATTCATCCATCTCAGGTCTCAGGACGCGCGTTGTTCCTCTACACTCTTTTCTTTCCGTCCATTCCAGCATGCCTAAGGTCAGCATCACCGTCGTTACCGGCCAACATCACTGTGCAATCACACGCCTGGCAGATCTCGTACGTGGGCTTCGAAGGGAAATCGACTCTGGCATTTCACCTCGCGTGGCGGCCCTCCGTTTATCCAGGCTGTCCACCTACATCGAGGTCGTCGAGGACTCCCTTCATCAACTGTGCGACGTGATCGATCAGTCCGGCTCCGAAAATGCCCAGGACGTGATCGATCAGACCCGGTCCAGTGCCGCCTTGGCCATATCATCTGCTGACGTTGTGCTCCTGGACCTTGAAGCCTTGTCGGAAAGCTCTGTGGACCTGCTCCCTCCGAGACCGGCGGTGCCTCCAAAGGAACGTATCAAGATCGACATTCGGCCTTTCGACCAGAGGGAACCTACCCTCTGGTTTGACCTCTTGGAGGCCCAGTTCCGCGCCGCCGGGATCGACAGCGAGCAGGGTAAGTTCGCCTATCTTGTTAAGTTCTTAGACGACTCACAGAGCTACCAAGTCGGGCCGATCGTCGCCGCCGGGTCCGCTGACATGTACAGCCAGGCGAAGACTCTTCTCGTTAGACTTTATTCGCTTTCTCGTCCCCAGCGTATACAACGAGCCTTTTTTGAAGAGACGCTGGGGAACCACGAGAGGTTGGCGGACTTTTTGGCCCGGATCTCTCCCCTCTGCGAAGAACTCACGCCGGACGACGTCAAAAAGTTCCTCATGGCTCGTCAACTTCCATCTTCCGTCCGGCAGCAGATGGTGGAGAGATTCGACGAAGTTTCCTCCGGCCAATTTCAAGAGTCCGCCGACCGGCTGTTAGCGGACCTGCGCCACCAAGAAGTGCGCAAAACGATTCGGCCCGACCAAGGTGATCATTCTTCGTCAGGAGTCGCAGCCGTCAGCTCCCGCGGTCGTGCTCGTGGAGCTGGAAGCCAGGGGCCGAAGGGTTGCGTTTTCCATCAGGCCTACGGGGACAAGGCCCGCTCATGCAAGGGAGGCAAGTGTCCCTTTTGGTCTTCCGAGCTTCAGCGGGTCAAGGTCTCCGAGGTTAAGGCCAAGGGAAACGCAAAGGAGGCGCCGTCTTCAGGCCAACCGACGCCTCCACCATCCTTTCGGCCTCAACGGACAACATCTTCCGAGGATCAGTAAAGTTGGACGGTTTTGTAGTGGACTCGGCCTCTCCTGTCTCCCTCCTGCCGGCGGACGCGTCGACTGACAAGTCACATCCTCGTCCGTCTGGCCTCTTCTACGGAGGGGGACAGCCAGTTCACTACTACGGTAACAAAACCGTCCAGATCCGGCTTCCAGACAGGACGGTCTCTTTTAACATTAATGTCGCCGATGTACTTTTCCCAATTCTAGGCAGGGACTTTTTCGACCGGCACGGCAAGAACCTGGTGGTGGATATTTCCTCAAGACGAGTTATTCCCGGCGGCACCAACGCCGACGTATCGTCTTACGTCACCTCCTCTTCTCCCGCCGCCGGGACCCCAGACGAAGCCACCAGGGGAACCATCGCGGCCGTGTCGGTCAGCCCGAGGA